ATACTCCATATATATATTTATTTGTTTTTATAACGAGATAAATATTAACAAAAATAATGAAAAGAAAAGTATTGCATAAATACAATCGAATTTAAATGAAATACTGATGTATGTAACAAAAAAAAAAATTAATAAAGAAATAATTAATATTTATTAAAAAAATAAGCATTAAACAAGAATATTACTAAAATAAAATTTTAGAAAATTAATAAATATATTACGTTATTCACATTTCAGTTTATTCATTTTCTGTCCACTTCTCAGAATAAAGAATAGAAAAATTAATAAAGAGAATGTTTAATAATTTAATTAATGTAAAAATTATATTGACCGAACATTTAAGTAAACTTTATATTTATAGTTTTTGTCGTTGAAATTTTATTGCATTAAGAGGTATTTATTCGCTTTATGATATATTAATTGGGTGTTCGGTGACTTTATTAGAGTAATGAACAAACAAATTAATAAAGAGCATGTAGAGCTGCCTCTACGGTTTTGATGTATTTATATATATTTTTAAATACTTTGAATGATTGATCCTTAATTACGTAATCTATTTCATTCAGCATTCTTTAATTTCAATAGGCATTTATTCACTTTAATAAAAATCTTTATTTTTATTAAAAATTTAAAGCCTTATTGAACATTAATTATTAATTAATTGTAAATTACTAGTTTATTTGTTATGATTTATGTCCATCAATTTAAATATATTGCTGTTAAATTAACAAACATAAACAACTAGTAAAAATGCAAATTAATTATATGAATATTAATTAAGTAAAAATTTTATTATTATATGTATAAAATTTTCTTTTACAAAATTCGTTACAAAAATTATTTCATTTCCTAAAAAAAAAATTCTTTTTTTTTTTTTTTTTTTTTTTTTTTTTTATTTTTATTTATTAGTAACAAATATTTTTTTAATTGATTTTTTTAATTAATTTTTTTCCTGACAATCTTCGCATTTTTTTCTGAAATTTTATTCCTGACAGACTTTGTACTTTTTTTTTAATAAAAGTACAAAAAAAAAAAAAATCATCAATTTTTTTTTTTTGTGTGCGTGTGCATGACTGACTTCGTATTCTTCATTTAACTAATCCTTTAATTTTCCAAAAAGGTTAATAATGACTTTTATTAACCAATGATTGAATATTATCCATGCGACTCAGTATGAACAAAATGAAGTATTTTTGTTTTGTTTATTTTTCTAAATATTATAAAAGTAAGGTCTGTAATATTATTTATAGACAAGCTATTAAGCTTCAATGATTATTCTTACATTAGCTAATGAAGGTTTAATTATTTTGATATATATTATTTGTTCTATGTATGTTACTGATATTTTAAAGAATTTGCATATCTATACATTTATCACTATGTAGCTATTGATAAGAATATTACATATTTATCTTAATAATTTAAAATGTCATATTATTTTTTTCGTTAAAATGATATTATCACAAGCACATACAATTATATATTTTTCTTGAATTTAGTCCTTAAAAATATTTTCCATTATTTTTGGAAATCGTGAAGAATTCATTTTGAATCCAAATGGAAATATATTATATACAAAATATACATAAATGGGTGATATAAAACAAGTATGTTTTTTACTATTTTTTTTTGATGAAATATTATAAAATTTTTTTTTAAGCTCTATCTTCAAGAACCATTTAATACCTAGTGAGTAAAAGATATTAATTGCTATTTTGAATTTCTATTACAATAAAAAGGTTACATATAGAACTTTTGGTTTATAAATAATGGTATCACCTATTCTAAATAATATTTAAATAAAAAAAATAAATAAAAAAATTTTTATTTCTGCATGTTAAAATGTGGTGAAAATGTGCACACATATACCTGTCCAAAAAAAAAAAAAAAAATACATGCAGTAAAAGTATATTAAAAAAAATAACTGCACTGTAAGTAAATACAATGAAAAAATGTATATATTTTTTATTTTTTTTTATTTTTTTTATTGTAATAATGACTTAAAATTATTAATTTTTTTATTGATAATGATTTTATTATTATTATTTTTTTTTTTTTGAGAATGTCAATGTAGATTATTTTCTTTTTATGAAAGATTAAAAATGTAAGATAATTATGATTTACATGGGATATTATGTGAACTAACAACAATAGTAATTAGTTGATAGAATTAATATTTAATATTAATTAATAAATGTGATTATTTTGCTTAGTATTTTAATTTAATGAAAATGAAATGAGTTTTTTCGACGTTCTCTATATTAATTTGTTTTTTTAATACTATCAAAATGGTTAATAAGAGATATGATTAACCTTCTTGAGAATAAAAATAACTAGTTATATAAAAAAAAAAATGGTTATCTATACAAGTGTTAGTTATAAAAAAAGAAAAAAAATTGGATGATAATTTTTTTTTTTTCATTTTATAAATTAAATATATTAAAAAGTTATTTATTTCTTTTTGGAAAAAAAAGAGATAGAAGGATGAAAAAAGTTTGTTGAAAAATATAAAAAGTAATTTACAGAATAAAGAGTTTTCTTATATAATGAATTTTTTTTTTGAATTTTTAAATGAAAATATTATATTAACTATAATAAAATATTGATATTTGTAATGTTTGCATATTTTAATATGTATTCTATCAACTAATGTTTGTTATCATAAAAGCAGCTGACATAAGTTTTTAAATATTGTTCATAACACAATATGTAGAAATATATTTAATTAGGAATCGTGTTCAGTTTGAATATTAATTTTTAATAAAAATGAGCATTTTTATTAAAGTAAATAAATGCCTCTTAAAAAAACAATTAATGTTCAATGAAACAGGTAATATATAAAATCAGTTTATTGGCTTATAGCATTAAAATTATACGTAAATTAATTAAATTGGTAGAGGAAACTCTACATACTCTTTATTAATTTGTTTCTTCAATACCTATAACAAAATCATTGAGGAGGCAGATAATAAATGACAAAACCATTGAATAAGCAATTAATAAAGCACTAATTTAGTCAAAGATTCTCTTTATTTTCATTTGAACATAAATATCCTTTATAAAATCCTTTAATTATTTGAAAAAAAATTATTTTATATAAAATAATAATTTTTCGTTAAAATTATTAATATATTTTTCAAAGATTACTCCAATTCAAAGCAAGAATTTTTTTTATTATTTCTAAATGAAAAAAAGAAAATTCATGAAAAATAATTAATTGTTTTAGAATTATTTATATATTTATTTCAAAATTTTATATTTATACTAAATATTTAATATCTAATGTAAATAAGTGCTCTTTTTATTAATTTTTTTAAATATCTTATAAATTAATTAGATATATAAAAATAAATAAAGTATTAGATAAACATACTTCATTTAAAGAATTATAAGGTTAAATAATTTAATTATTCATACGATGTAATTAATTTATATAATGCTTTCTTATTTATAGGAAAAATATGTGATAATAGACAAAATTAATGGACACTATTCTGCATGCTCTTTATTAATTTGTGTGTTAAATAATTTATAGAAGTTTGTTAATAGGAAATTAATAAATCACATACAAGATGGAATGTTTCATAACTTAGAAGACTGAAAATAGATATAAATCGAAACATTCTAAATTTTAGATCAGAACATATTCAAATTTATTGATTTTAATTTGCAATGGTTTTCAAGTTATGAATAAATATTTATTTATATATAATTTATTTGTATATGATTATTTATAATTTTTTTTTTTGCACAAAAAGATAAACGAAAAAATAGAAAGAATAAAAATATTTTGTGATTATATTTTTATTTATATTATTCATGTATGTTTATGAAAATGCTTATTATGTAATATTTAAATATTAAGTACTAATAAATTATTTTTTTAATTTACAACAAGAGATTTAATAACATTAACAAATGTAATTGATATTATTTTACATTATCTTTATTAATTTTTTTTCTTAATATTTTAGCAATGTCCTTTATTAATTCAAAAATAAATAAATAAGTTAATTTACTAGTTAACTTGCATAAAATGCTTGATATATTATATATTAGTACTATATATTAAATATTACAAATTTTTGATAGTTAAACATTTAAACATAATATATTCTCTTTTTACTATTATAGAAATAATTGCTTTAAAAAACATAATATATATTATTTTACGTACTTTTTACGAAATTAATCATCCTATGCTTTATAAATGTGTTAAACATAGAAAATAATAAATCAATAATAAATTAAATTTTTATTTTTTAAAGATACTATACATTTCTTTTTCATATTTACACTTTTTTATATATAACAAAAATTAAAAATAAGTAGCTAGCAAAAAAAAAAATTTTTCCTTAGTATTAATATAATATTAATAGAAAAACATCATATATTAAACCCAAAAGAAATTTATTTGTGTTAATTTAATATTATACTTTTTTTGTGTTATTTAGTTATGAATATTAGAATTTCTCCTACGTTAAGTTTTTGCCATTATATTACTTGATCTGAGGGTATATCTTCATCTATATAGGGAAAATTCTTGTCATAACCGAATGCACGAAGAAATCTATGTAATCTACTTCTCTTTGCATTTTCTGTTTTTTTTATTTTTAATAATTTAGGAGAATTTATACATTCCATAGGCATTTCATTTAATCTTTTTTTTGCTTTTTTTTTTTTTGGATTATCTCTTCCAAGAAATTTTCCAACAGGAGTATACTATATTGTAAATTAAAAAATTATTTTTAATAAATATAATTTTAATTTATACAAATGGTTTGAAAAAAAAAAAAATATATATATATTTTTGTATAAATAACTTCGTCTCACCATATAAAGAAGAACAAAAACTAAAACTACCCCAAGAAGAGCAAGAGAAACAGGAAGAACAGCAAAAGCTGGTCCACAAAATAATCCTTTGCATGTTGCACCAGTTAAGCCACCACCATGTTCTGTAGGGGTTAATGCGGTTGAATTATTCATTATAGTAGTAGCACTATCCATTGCACTTGTAGAAAAAACAGTAGATAAATCACTTGTATCATTTGTAGGAATCGCAGAATTATTATGAAAATCAGGTGTTGTTGGTGATAAATCAGATGCGGATATCATAGCAGTTGGAGATATGTTTAATTCATGTGATGAAGTAGATATGGACGACGTAGTTAAGTTAGATGACTGAGTAGGTGTGGGTGATGAAGTAGAATTAGATGATGAAGTATGGTTAGATGATGCAGATGTAATTGACAAACCATTAGTAATTGCTAACCTTTCTGGAATAACCATTCTATCTACATATGAATCGGATATGTGTGTTAATAAAACATTGTCTGTAAGTTTTCTCCATGAAGTCAAGGTATCATTTAAAATTTGCTTTGTGGTAGGATCTGGTACTCTATTTAATACATAAGTAATATTACCACTTCTCTTGTTCATCCATTGTGAAAAATCCATAGCATTGCTAAGTGTGAGATTACTTTTTAACTCTTCTATTCGATCAAATAAACCTGGTTCGATAAAATCTAACCAAACTTTCAAATTTCTTCTAATATCCCTGGTTGATCTTACATTTCTACTTCTTGTTCCTTGTTGCCTTACTGCTAAAACTCTTCCACTTCTGAGACATAATTCTGTTTTTAGGTTATTTTTTCCTACTTCAAAACTATAGAGGGGGAATTATATTAAAAAATTAAAATTATAAAAATTATTTTTTTATGAAATAATGCAGATTTTAAAAAATATAAGACATAAATATATTTTTAATGATGAATATTACTTTATACTGTAAAAATATTGGAATATACACACCAACAAATAAATATAGATAATCATCATTGGGAAATGAAATATTTTTATTTTTATTATTTTTGAATACTCCATAACCTCTAAATTTCGCAAAATTTACAAAAAAATATCACTTGGTTTATATATATTTATACCATTAAAATTTTATGTATTATTTCAAGTAATTCGAATAATATGATGTAAAAAAATATATTTTTTTATTATTAAACAAAATTTTTGAATATAAAACAATTCCTAATATTATCGAATAGTTCTTAATACGTTGTTCAATGTAACATATAATTAAAAACTATAGAAATCCTATAGATTATACTTGCAATTTTTTCAAATATACAAGGTAAAATAATTCTCAAATTATATGAAGAAAAAGGAAACAATGAAAAAGATAAAATATTATAATTATGTTTTTTAATTATACTATATTCGATTTAAAATATCTATACATGATAAATTAATATTTAACAAAAACAAATTAAACATTAAATATAAAACATCAAATCTTTCATATTGAATAATTTAATTAAAAATTATAAATATTTAAAAATTTATATTTACTAATAAATATCTATAATTTGTTAGTAAATAATTTTAAAACACAAAATAATTTTTCTTTTCAATAAATAATTTTTTTTTAATATTTTTGATAAATAATTTATTGTATATATCATATAAGATTCCTATGCATGTAAAACAAAAAAAATATTTATAATAGTTATATCTAATATTTTATTCATAAAATATCCTATTATATATACTTTTATTTTTTACTATGTTTTTTAATGAATTAAATTAGAAACTAATTTTTTATAGAAAGAAAAATATACTACATGTTGTAAAAAAAAAAATGATAAAAATTATAATTGTTTAAATCGTTAATAATAAAGAAAAAATAGATAATAGTATTAAATCAATAATAAAATTAGTTAATATATCTTATGGATACTATAATAATGAAAAAAGAAATACAAATAATATAAGTTCTTTAGAGATTTCTCGGTTATTGAATATATTTACTATATTTAATATACAATTAATTATAATTTTGTTATAATGTTAATTTGAAAAATTAGCAGCATGCTAATTAAACGATCATTAAAAAATTAATTTAAAATTAAATTTTATTCATTTTACTATATTATTACATTTGAAATCGAATGATAAATTTTTTGAAAGTAAAAATTAAAATAAAAAGAAAAGAATAATAAAAATAGATTCAATTCATAAAAATACTATTTTATATAATTAAAAAAAATTCAATAAAAAGATATTTATGGTTGTATCTAATGAAAAAAATATATTTTGTAATAAAAAATGACAATTTAATGAAACTTTTACCTCATCCATTGAATGAAAATACTTAGAGATAACCATTGAACTTTAATAATTAAATAGAATATTTAAAAATTTATATGCATGTATTTCCATTATTACATATTGTTACTAATTTAATAAAAAAGAAAAGCAATAATTGCCTTTAAAATAATGAATAATATATACATATCAATTATGAAATAAGAAAAAAATATGATAGCACATATTTTACTTGTTGAAGTAATTTTACAGTTAACTGTAACATGTATGTGAATAAAATTATATGTAATTTATTTCTATAAAAATAGTAGTAAAAAATATAAATATTTAAAAGAATTTTAAAATATAAAATTTCTGCATTAATTATAACTTTCATTAAAGTATATAAAAAAAAAAATAATAATAAAAAAAAAATTTGAGATTTATTTTAAATCGTTAAGAAAAAAAAAGATATATTTATCCTATTATAAAAAAATATTAAATTTTAAGAGTTATAAGAAATTATATCAATTAACAAATTATACCTAAATTCGTTCTGATGCTCACTATAAATTGATTTATTAGTAAAGTGATCCATAATTTTCCTTTATTAATGAGAAAACAAGTTATTACATAGCATGCAACACGATATATTAATTTTAAATGTTACCAGATTATATTGATGCTACAAATGTATATACTTTATATATATTGGTTAAATAATTAGATATTTGTTTTTTTTACAGTATTTTATTTATTCTATAAAAATTTATCCTTATTAAAAACATAAATTCTTTCTAAAACAATTGATTGTAGGTAAAATAATCCTTTAAAATAAACTAATAATTTTGCATTGAAGTTATTGACAGTATTCAAAAACACATAAAAATTATATAATAATAAAAACAAAATACTTTTTAATTTTCTTTCGAAATTTCAATTCAATTATTCATTGAATTTAAAATTAAATTAATTAAATATAATTTTTTATCATATTTCAAAAAAAAAAATATATATAACTATCTAGAACAAATTGAAAAGATATTTAAAAAAAAGTAATAATTTTTTTTTTTTTTTTTGACAACTGAAGAATTTGTATGTTTAACTCTCAATTTTTTGTATTAGTAGCTATTATTTCATAAAAGGAAAATAATATATTTTATTAATAAAAATATAAAATTTTGAAGATTTAACACATAATATATATACATATAATAATGATTTATTGGTGTATTAAACGAAATAATTTAACATATTACATTAAAATAATACTGTAAATAACTTATTTTATTTAATATATGTAGTATTATAATAGTTAAAGTATAAATAAGAGCTACGATATAAAAATGAATCCAAAACAAAATTTGATAAATTCTACTTGAATATTCTATATATAAATATTTATTTTTTTTTTATAACGAGATAAATATTAAAAAAATAATAAAAAAAAAGAGGCATTGTATAAATACAATTGAATTTAAATGAAATACTGATGTATGTAAAAAGAAAAAAAGATTAAAAAAGAAATAATTAATATTCATTAAATAAATGAACATTAAACAGAAGAGTATTACTGAAATAAAATTTTAGAAAATTAACAAATATATTACGTTATTCACATTTCAATTTATTGATTTTCTGTCTACTATTCTAGAATAATAAGCAGAAAAAATAATAAAGAGAATGTTTAATAATTTAATTAATGTAAAAATTATGTTGACCGCACATATGAGTAAACTTTATATTTATAGTTTACGTCGTTGAGTATTTATTGCATTAAGGGAAATTTATGTGCTTTAATAAAAATTACATCGTTTTTATTAAAAATATAAATAATCATTAATTATTGACTTTTAAGAAAAAATATTTAATAATAATTTTATGAATAACTATTTAGTAATTTATTTTCATTGATTTTAGATTAGTAAAAAAGGTAAAAATTGAAGTAAGACTAAATTTACGTGACTTATTTTTTGATAAAAAAAATTTTATTCTCAAAAATATAAAATTTTTTTAGTAATCTATGATTTTTCCAAAAAAAAAATTAAACTAAAAATAATAAAAAAAAATAACTTTTTTTTTTTTTTTATGCATATTTTTTTCTAGTGATACAAGATTTCAATGACATTTTGGAAAATTTACATAATGACAGGGTATTATTTTAAAGCATTTCCTTTGCATGCATGATAATTAAAAGACATATATAAGGATATATATGAATATACGTACCAAAGTAATTTTTATGTACAAAATAACAACAAAGTAGTTAACTAGAAAATGCATACCTTCTGAAATGTAGTATAGGTATGTTTATATAATATATACATATATTAATAACAATATTTTAAAAAAGAATTTAATTTTCCTCATATTAAAGAAGAAATAAATTTTTTTTACTTCTTTTTTTATGGAGAATATTGTAGTAATAATTTTTTTCATATAGTATATAAAAACTATGAGATATAAAAAAAAGTGTTCAATTTATTATAAATAGATAGTTATATAAAAGGTATATAATTATATACTAAAATTAATTTTCTTGATATACAAGTGGTTAATAAAAGGTATTATTAACATTTTTGAGAATAAAAAGTAACACCTATATGGAAAATAAATATTCATGCAAGCACTAGAAAAAAAAAAAAAAAAAATTAATCTTTTTTGTTTTTCTTTTTGCTAAATTTAAATACATAAAAAAACATATTTATTCTTTTTTTTTAAAATAATGCAGTTGACTAAAAAATTGAAAAATAGAGTCCTGACTAAAAAGTTACTTGTAACTTATTCTCTTTTAAATTTATATAAGAAAATTTTAAATTAACAATAATAAGATTTTCATGTTTTGTAGAATTTATATAATTCATTTTATATTTTAATTATTTATGTTTGCTAATTTGAGAGCAATGGATTTGAATTGCAAAACATTACTGATGATATTATAAATAAAATATATGTCATCAAAATTGATAATGTGATTGTAAATTTTTAATAAAAATATAAGACACATATTAAAGTAAATAAATGCTCAATGAAGTAGACTATATATATATAACAGTTTACTGGTTTATAGCATTAAAATTATACATGAATCTATTAAATGAGTAGAGGAAATATTACATACTATTTATTAATCTGTTTGTTCAATATTTTAGCAAAGTCATTGTAGGTACAATTAATAAATAAGATATCTACATTATTGGTTAATAAAAAGCTTTATTAACCTTTTTGGAAAATAAAAGGATTAGTTAAATAAGAATACCAAGTTGGTCATGCACACACACACAAAAAAAAAATTGATGATTTTTTTTTGTTTGTACTTTTTTTTTAAAAAAAAGCACAAAGATTTTCAGGAATAATATTTGATAAAAAAATGCAAAGATCGTCAGGAAAAAAAATTGATTAAAAAAATCAATTAGAAAAATATTTGTAACGAATAAATAAATAAATAAAATAAAAAAAAAAAAAAAAAAAAAGAACTTTTTTTTTTAAGGAAATGAAAAGGTTTTTGGTGATGAATTTTGTAAAAGAAAATTTTATACATATAACAATAAAATTTTCATGTAATTAATATTTATATAATTTTTGATATTTGTCAATAATTGTTTATCTTTGTTAATTCAACAGTAATATATATTAATTGCTGAATGTAACTCATAACAAATAGACAGGTAATTTACAATTAATTAATAATTAATGTTCAATAAGGATTTAAATTTTTAATAAAAATAAAGATTTTTATTAAAGTAAATAAATGCCTATTGAAATTAAAGAATGCTGAATGAAGT